TCGTGGACTTCAACTCCCAGAATTCCTGAGCCAGCATGGGGGAACGATGGCCCCTTCATGATTTGTAGACTTCAACTCCCAGAATTCCTGGCTGGCTGGGTCTGGGTTAGGCAACCTTGGCTCTTTTATGACTCATGGACTTCAACCCCCAGAATTCCCGAGCCAGCATGGCTAAGCATGGAAATCTCTCCCTTTCACCTCAGCGTGGCTGGCTCAGGAATTCTGGGAGTTGAAGTCCACCAGTCATGAAGGGGCCATAGTTCCCCCATGCTGGCTCAGGAATTCTGGGAGTTGAAGTCCACCAGTCATAAAAGAGCCAAGGTTGCCTACCCCTGGTCTAGAAGCAGGGCTGGGGAACTATGGCCTCTTTATGAGCTGTGGACTTCATCTCCCAGAATTCCTGAGCCAGCCACGCTGAGGGGAAAGGGAGACCTTTCCATGCTTAGCCATGCTGGCTCAGGAATTCTGGGAGTTGAAGTCCACCAGTCATAAAAGAGCCAAGGTTGCCTACCCCTGGTCTAGAAGCAGGGCTGGGGAACTATGGCCTCTTTATGAGCTGTGGACTTCATCTCCCAGAATTCCTGAGCCAGCCACGCTGAGGGGAAAGGGAGACCTTTCCATGCTTAGCCATGCTGGCTCAGGAATTCTGGGGGTTGAAGTCCATGAGTCATAAAAGAGCCAAGGTTGCCTAACCGAGCCCCAGCCAGCCAGGAATTCTGGGAGTTGAAGTCCACTAATCATAAAAGAGCCAAGGTTGCCTACCCCTATCGTAAGTCCTCACGTTCTAAGCAGTGAGCCACCTATACCAGGGGTAGGCAACCTTGGCTCTTTTATGACTCGTGGACTTCAACTCCCAGAATTCCTGAGCCAGCCTGGCTCAGCTTGGAAACCTCTCCCTTTCCCCTCAGCGTGGCTGGCTCAGGAATTCTGGGAGTTGAAGTCCACAAGTCATAAAAGAGCCAAGGTTGCCTACCCCTGACCTATAGCCTATGCCAAGGGTCCCCAATCTGTGGACTGTGGCTCAGTAGTGGGCCAAGGCCTGTTGGCCACTGGGCCGCGGGACAGGCTGCCAATGTGCGTGCATGTGCATGCACACCCTCTCACTTGCACTAGCGAAGCAGCCGGGCCGCCACCGCAACGCCTCGGGGCATGACAACGGGCCGCTGCTGCTGCGCCTCAGGGTGCAAAAATGGGCCATCACCCCTGTGCCTCGGGGTGTGAAAACAGACCGCCGCCGTGCCTCAGGGTGCAAAAATGAGCTGCCGCTGCTGCACTTCGGGGAGTGAAAACGGGCCATCGCCATGTCTCAGGGCACGAAAACAGGGCACTGCCGCTGTGCCTCAGGGCGTGGAAACAGGCTTCCGACCCTGTGCCTCAGGGCGCAAAAATGGGCCACTGTCATGGCACCTTGGCGCGAAAACGGGCTGCCACCGACATGCCTCAGGGCGTGAAAATGGATTGCTGCCACACCGTGGGGTGCAGAAACAAGGCACTGCGCCACGCAACAACAGGGTGGGGCTAGTGTCACATGGGTGCTAGCCCTGCCCCGTTTGTAACATGTGCTTGTGGCTCCCCTGCACGCACACATGCACGCACACATGTAAATTGCTTCCCCCTCCCTTTTCCTCCGGTTCGCCAACTGGCGAAGATTGGTGACCTCTGCCCTATGCTCTACACCAGTGGTTCTCATCCTGTGGGTCGGGACCCCATTTGGGGTCAAACGACCATTTCACGGGGGTCGCCAAACAACGCAGTCCGCCATTTTTTCCCCCTTTTCCTTAGCTGTGCTCCTCCTTTTTATTCTATTGGCTTTCGAAAGCCAATAGAACAGACTCTCTTGAATAGAGTCTAATTCTATTGGCTTTCAAAAGCCAATAGGAATTGTCCAGGCTGTCTCTGCCCTGCTGAGCCCGCCAAAAGTCCCATTCTGCAAACGGTGCTGCACCAGTTGAGTAGTCCTCGACTTACGACCGGTTGAGTAGTCCTCGACTTACGACCGGTTGGGGGGGGTCGCGGCATTAAAAAGGTTGAGAACCACTGCTCTACACTGAAAAAAAGATCACACAATATTATTGTGTTTTAATGTTGCCACAGCCACAAGAAAGAAAGCTGCACAAGACTGCAGCCAAAATCCACCAAGCGATGATAACAGAATAAATATTGGATATTTCTTTTTTTTCCCTCTCTTTCCCTCCCCATTTTTTTCTGTTTTTTTTTTTTTAGATCCTCCACTCCAAGCCTGTTTTTATTTCTACTCTTTGTAGGTTTTTCTCACAGCTTTCATTGGCAGACACTCAGGTGAACAACTGCTGTACATAAAGAAAAATAAATAATAGTTCTTTCCAGTCCCGAGAGAGAATCTATGAATTTCTGGAGGCCTTACAATCATCACACAAAAACTTATTATCATCTCATTTACAGGTGTGTATTTCATGTTGCGGTGGTCTATTAATAATTCACAGCTGCCTTAACGAATATTAGAGAGTGTGATTCACAGTGTTTGTGTGTATGTGTGTGTGAGGCAAAGAGGAATCAGCTGTACAGGTAAGTCCTCGACTTACAACCAAAATGGCGCCCAACATTTCCCCGTTGCTAAGCGAGACATTTGTGAAGTGAGTTTGGCCCCATTTTGTTGATTTTATTTTTCTCGAGCGCAAATTTGCCGTATTCTACGACTTTTCTTCCCACAGATGTTAAGTGAATGGTGGCTGTTGTTAAATTAGTAACACGGTCGTTAAGCGAAATTGGCCTCCACCACTGACTGTGCTTGACAGAAGGTCGCGAAAGGGGATCACGGGACGCCTCGACTTACAACCGTTCGTTTAGTGACCGTTCAAAGTTACAACGGCACTGAAAAAAGTGATTCACTATCATTCTTCGCAGTTCTGACCGTTGCAGCATCCCCATGATCAGGTGATCCAAATTCAGACGCTTGGCAACTGACTTGTACTTATGACAGTTGCAGTGTCCCGGAGTCACGTGATCCCCCTTTTGTGGCAAGAGAGGTCGTAAAATGGGGCAAAATGTCTCGCTCTACAATAGAAATGTTGATCCTCAAGTGTGGTCATAAGCCGAGGACCACATGACCCTGGAAAGTGTTTTCAGACAATGCTGGGTCCCTCAATTATGGCCAGAAACTGAAATGAACAGAGCCCCCTAGAGTCAGATTCAACCGGACACGGGAAATCTTTACCTCTACCTTATTTGGGCAAAGAAACCAGTTGGAGAAGGGGGTCCCAAACTTGTCCACTTTATAATTTGTGGACTTCAACTCCCAGAATTCCTTGAGGAATTCTGGGAGTTGAAGTCCACAAGTCACAAAGTGGACAAGGCTGGCTGAGGAATTCTGGGAGCTGAACTCCACGAGTCACAAAGTGGACAAGGCTGGCTGAGGAATTCTGGGAGTTGAAGTCCACGAGTCACAAAGTAGACAAAGCTGGCTGAGGAATTCTGGGAGTTGAAATCCACAAGCCACAAAGGGGACAAGGCTGGCTGAGGAATTCTGGAAGTTGAAGTCCACAAGCCACAAAGGGGACAAGGCTGGCTGAGGAATTCTGGGAGTTGAAGTCCACGAGTCACAAAGTGGACAAGGCTGGCTGAGGAATTCTGGGAGCTGAAGTCCATAAGTCACAAAGTGGACAAGGCTGGCTGAGGAATTCTGGGAGCTGAAGTCCACGAGTCACAAAGGGGATAAGGCTGGCTGAGGAATTCTGGGAGCTGAAGTCCACGAGTCACAAAGTAGACAAAGCTGGCTGAGGAATTCTGGGAGTTGAAGTCCACGAGTCACAAAGGGGACAAGGCTGGCTGAGGAATTCTGGGAGTTGAAGTCCACGAGTCACAAAGGGGACAAGGCTGGCTGAGGAATTCTGGGAGTTGAAGTCCACGAGTCACAAAGGGGACAAGGCTGGCTGAGGAATTCTGGGAGTTGAAGTCCACAAGCCACAAAGGGGACAAGGCTGGCTGAGGAATTCTGGGAGCTGAAGTCCACGAGTCACAAAGTGGACCAAGTTGGGGACCTTTGACATGGAGGATGTCTCCAAATTTTTCTAGGCTCCCTGGTTTCCTAAGGTCAGGAGATCCTCTTCCACCGTCCCTTTGTGAACCGTTCTTCCAAATGTCTCCCTTTGCAAGCGAGCACAAACATGACACAACGAGAGGTCATGGATGTGTGAAACGACAGAATATTCAAATATGCCCTGAGGCCAACCTCATTAGGAAGCAAGGGCAAAAAATATCTTATTTCACAGGCAAATTTTTCTCTTTAGCACTGGACTTTTTGCGATATACCGTATTTCCCCAAATATAAGCCCTAACCGGAAAATAAACTCTAGCATGATTTTTTTCAGGATGCTTGTAATATAAGCCCCATCCCAGTTAAGATTGTCAGCCAGACGGATATTTAAAGTATCTAGTTTTGCAGAAATGGCAAAAATTTCTGCTTATTTAAAGGATCATACACAAGAAAGATATATTATTGTATGGGGAAGGTGGATAGATTATATTCAGAAAAAGTATGGAATTAAAAAGTTTCATTTATTTTATGAATGAATATTAAATATTATAGAGAATTGTTTTATAGGTTATGGAGTTAAAGGTTAATTATGACAATTTTTTTTTCTCTTTTCTTTTTTCTTTTTTTTATTATTATAAATTTTGTTATTATTAACCCTGTATTCTGCTCTGGGAAGTGAAGGGAGGGGGGTTGGGGGTGGGAGGGAGGGTAAGGGGGGGGTAAAGGTAGAAAAAAAGAAAAAAAATAAATAAAAAAAGATTGTCAGCCAGACGGACCCATTTAGTACCGTATTTCCCTGAATATAGGTCCTAACCAGAAAAGAAGCCCTAGCGTGATTTTTCAGGATGCTCGTAATATAAGCCCCATCCCAAATATAAGCCCCAGTTAAGATCATCAGCCAGACGGATCCATTTAGTACCGTATTTCCCCGAATATAGGTCCTAACTGGAAAATAAGCCTATCCCATCCCATCCCGCTCTGCTCTTTAAAGCGACTGAGTTGTTTCCTGCTATCCACACAATCTCCGAGAAAACAGAGCTACTTTAAAAGACCATCTGGGTGATCTGAAGCATAGACTTACCGTGAAGTAATAGAACTGGGACGATTTCGCCATGAATTCTGGTCTGCATTCAGCCACACAAATGTCCACATATCCTGCATGCTGACTGAGTTTTGCCTCGGCCATCTCACAAACAATTCTAGAAGGAAAACAGAGACATTCAAAGGCTGAGCTTTTCCTCTGGTAAACTACTTTGCAGTATCCAAAGCTGGATACATAGCATCTTACTAGCTGGATTTATTACAAGATGGATAGGTGAGTGGGTGGGTGGATGGATGGATGGATGGATAGATAGATAGATAAATGGATGGGTGGGTGGGTGGATGGATGGATGGATGGTTGGTTGTTTGGTTGGTTGGTTGGTTGGGTGGGTGGATGGATGGATGGATGGATGGATGGATGGATGGATGGATGGATAGATAGATAGATAGATAGATAAATGGATGGATGGATGGATGGATGGTTGGTTGGTTGATTGGTGGTTGGTGGTTGGTTGGTTGGGTGGATGGATGGATGGATGGATGGATGGATGGATGGATGGATGGATGGGTGGGGATGGATGGATGGATGGATGGGTGGTGGGTGATGGATGGATGGATGGATGGGTGGATACCTAGATGGATGGATGGTTGGTTGGTTGGATGGATGGACAGATAGATGGATGGATGGATGGATGGATGGACGGACAGACAGATAGATAGATGATAGATAGGTGGGCGGGTGGGTGGATGGATGGTTAGAGGTATGTATGTATGTATGATTGGATGGATGGATGGATAGATAGATAGATGATAGATGGTTAGATGGATGGATGGATGGATGGATGAATGGCTAGATGGATGGATGGGTGGCTGGCTGGATAGATAGATAGATAGATAGATAGATAGATAGATAGATAGATAGATGATAGATAGATGGTTAGATGTATGGATGGATGAATGGATGGCTAGATGGATGGATGGATGGATGGTTGGGTGGATGGATGGATGGTTGGATGGATGGATGGATGGATGGTTAGATGAATGGTTGTTGATTGGTTAATTGGATGGATGATGGAATTGATTGTTGAATGGATGGTTGGATGGAAGATTAGATGGATGGACGGATGGGATGGATACATAGCTCGGGAAACAGCAGAAAATTCTAGAACTGCTGATTAAATTGGGAAGCCAGTCAAACCACCAAGCACCTTGGAAGAAGCCCACGGAAGGCATTTTTGATACTGTGACCGAGAAGACCGCATGGACCTTTCTGCGGTGGCCCCACAGATCAAGCTCTCCTTGTGGGAACTCTCTCTTTGCCTTGCAAGTCAAGATTCCTTGGCCATCCCATCCTGGCCTTGACATGCTTTGCCCTGCAGGTCTCACTTACTGCTCGGCTGGGATATATCCATCCACCAAGGGAACGCATTCCACGCCTGCAACTTTGACATGGGATGCGATGTCCCAGAACTTCAGACCTAGGTTTTCTCCTCGGATGGTCACTCTCGTCCCTCCTTCACGAGGTCCTCTCACTGGACTTATCTAAGGACACAAAGATCTGCTTAGGGGGGCTTCCAAAAGATAGAAAGAAAATATAAAAACCACCTCTTGCTTCCTCTGTGTGTGTGTGTGTGTGTGTGTGTGTGTGTGTGTGTGTATGTGTGTAATGATCCCCACCTTTCTTCCCCAAATATCCCATCCTGCTTTGCAAGTGGTCCTCGACTTACAACCGTCCGTTTCGCCACCGCTCAAAGTTACAACAGCAGTGAGAAAAGGGACGGAGGACCGTTTTCCCACCCTTAACGACCGCGGCAGCGTCTCCCTGGTCAGGTGATCAAAATTCAGAGATTTGGTTTATGACGGTTGTCGTTTCCCCTTTTGCGACCTTCTGACAAGCAAAGTCAAGCGGGACTCTTTGCAGAGTCTCCACATCTTTTTAATATGGTGGCGACCAAAAGTGACAATATGTGAAAAAGATGTTGAGAGTGCAGAGAAGAGCAACAAAGAGGATCAAGGGACTGGAGGATAAAACATATAAGGAACGGTTGCTGGAATTGGGGATGTCTAGTTTAACGAAGAGAAGGATAAGGGGGGACATGATAGCAGCCTTCCAGTATCTCAGGAGCTGCCCCAAAGAAGAGGGAGTCAAGCTGTTCTCCAAAGCGCCTGAAGGCAGGACAAGAAGCAACGGAGGAAAACTAACCAAGGCGAGAAGCAACCTAGAGAACTAAGGAGAAATTTCCTGACAGGGAGAACAATTAACCAGTGGAACAGCTTGCCACCAGAACGTGAGACTCTAGAACAGTGGTTCTCAACCTTTTTATACGGCGAACCCGGTCATAAGGACGCGCCGCGCATGTGTGGCGGCGCCCCATGCGCGGTGCGCATGCACAGCACCACCCCATGTGTGCCGTGCATGCGCGGTGACGCCCCCATGCACGGCGCACATGCGTGCGGTGCCCCATGCATGATGCACGTGCGCAACGGCGGCCCGTGCATGGCGCACATGTGCGGCGGCGCCCCCATGCACGGTGCACATGCGCGGCGGCGCCCCCTGAGGGAAAAAATGGCGGATCGCGTTGTTTGGCTACCCCCGTAAAATGGTCGTTCGGCCCCAAATGGGGTCACGACCCACAGGTTGAGAACCGCTGCTCTAGAAAGAGTACAGAGAAGAGCAATAAAGACGATTAGGGGACTGGAGGCTAAAGCATATAAGGAACAATTGTTGGAATTGGGGATGTCTAGTTTAATGAAGAGAAGGACGAGGGGGGACATGATAGCAGCCTTCCAATATCTCAGGGGCTGCCCTAGAAAAGAGGGAGTCAAGCTGTTCTCCAAAGCGCCTGAAGACAGGACAAGAAGCAACGGGTGGAAACTCATCAAGGAGAGAAGCAACCTAGAACTAAGGAGAAACTTCCTGACAGTGAGAACAATTAACCAGTGGAACAACCTGCCTCCAGAAGCGGTGAATGCTCCAACACTGGAAGTCTTTAAGAAGAGACTGGACAGCCATTTGTCTGGAATGGTACAGGGTTTCCTGCCTGAGCAGGGGGTTGGACTACATGACCTCCAAGGTTCCTTTTAATTCTGCTATACTGTTATTCTGTGATATCTCATTCTCTCAAGATAAGCCGCATTCTCCCTTTCCCAATCCCTTTGCAAAATATCATTTCAGATTTACAAAGGCAGGCCTTCCACCTCCCAATGTTGCCTATTTGAGGGAACAACAGACGCATTCTTGGAACATTCACAAGCTCTGGAGTAAAGCTGTTCCATTGTAATTGTTCTGAATGTCAGAAATATTTCTCATTATTTCTAGGTTGCTTCTCTCCTTGATTAGTTTCCATGATCCGTTGCTTCTTGTCCTGCCTTCAGGGGCTTTGGAGGATAGGTTGACCCCTTCTTTTTTGGAGCGGCCCCTCAAATATTGGAAGACTGCTATCATGTCACACTTTGTCCTTCTTTTCATTAAGCTAGCAATTTCTGCAACTTTTCTTCCTACGTTTTAGCCTTCAGCCCCCTGAGCATCTTTGTTGCTCTTCTCTGCCCTCTTTCTGCAGTCTCAACGTCTTTTTTTTTTTTATTGAAAGTTTTATAAATTTTACAAAAAGACAAAAACAATACAAAACAAAAGACAACATATACAAAAAAGAAACTAAACATTACATATATATATATAAAAAAAAAACCCCCATCCCCCACCCCTCACAAAAACCCTCCCTTCCCCCCCCTGAGCTTCCCAGAGCAGAATATAGGCTTAATTAAAAATTAAGAAATAAAAATAAAAAATTAAATTAAAAAATTTATATTTATATATATAAAAAAATATATCTATATATATATATAAAAATAAAACTTATAAAAAAGCTATGTGATATTTTTGTATACCCAATCTAAATTGTATAAATTTTATCCATTTGTCCCAAACAGCAAGGAACTTCTCTTGAGTTTGTTGCTTTAAGAAAGCCGAAATCTTTGCCATTTCCGCCAGATAAGCTACTTTAAGAAACCATTCCTGCAATGTAGGCAAAGATTCCTTCTTCCAATATTGTCCTACTAACAGCCTAGCGGCTGTAATCAAATTTAACATCAATACAACCTCCTTTGTATCACAATCTGTAATAATGCCTAACAAAAATAATTGCGGAGTAAATTTTACCCTCCTTCTAAAAATTCTCTGGATATTCCACCATATTTTGATCCAAAAACTGGATGTGATGATCCAAGTGTAGGTCTTATCGAAGCATTATAATGCCTTTTTGTTCCTGGCACACACCTTTGGGTGGAGGGTGTACTGGGCCATATTGTCTTTTTTGGATCAATGACATCTCTGTCACCCCCCCCCCTCAAGATATGGGTGTGCCATTGTACTGAATGGTCCCTAAACAAAGGCGATAAGTCGAGGACTACCTGTACTAGATCAGGAATATTAAAAAAAATGCACCGATTAGTCAGTGGGCCTATGAAAATAGGTGGATGTTGTTCCACTGGCAAGGAAGACGCGAGACCGCATGGCTGGATTTATGAACCGTAAAGAACCGCAGCGAGCACCATATCGAACAATAAGGAAATGTACAGGCACCGAGAACATGACTAATTGACCATATTTTCTCCAACTGTTGAGCAGAAACATCTGGCTCAAGGCTCTCAGTCATACTTATGTCCCCATCAAGCTATCCATTCCCTTGTGTGAGCTTTATGTATCACAGAGATGGAGGAAGGAACAGCATGCTAAACAAATCTGCAAGACATGAGAGGATAGGATAGGATAGGATAGGATAGGATAGGATAGGATAGGATAGGATAGGATAGGATAGGATAGGATAGGATACGGAAAGACGGAAGGATGGAAGGAAGGAAGGAAGGAAGGAAGGAAGGAAGGAAGGAAGGAAGGAAGGAAGGAAGGAAGGAAGGAAGGAGAAAGGGAGAGGAGAAAGGAAGGAGAAACCAGATTCGCTTCATGACCACGTGCTTCACTTAACGATGCAGTGATTCACCTAACAGCCATGGCGAAAAAGGCTGCCAAGTTGGGAGTGACTTACTTAACAACTGACTTGCCACAGAAATTTTGATCCCTGTGGAGGATTACCTGGGCGCCAAATAGAATAACCTCCGATAAATTACAGTGGAATTGTGGCTTTCCGTTTTTTTGAAACATTTCTGCTGATGCATTTTAAAATTACACCTCCCTCTCTCTCTCTCTCTCCTCTTCTCTCTTTCTCTCTCCTCCCTCTTTCTCTTTCTCGCCTCTTGTCTCTCCTCCCTCTTTCTCTCTCCTCTTCTCTTTCTCTCTCCTCCCTCTCTCTCTCTCTGTCTCTCTCTCCTCCCTCTTTCTCTCTCTCTCACCTCTTCTCTCTCACGCACCTTTTCTCTCTCCCCCTTTCTCTCTCCTCCCTTTCTCTATCTCCCTTTCTCTCCTCCCTTTCTGTCTCTCTTCTCTCTCTCTCCCTCTCTCTCTCTCTCTCTGTTCTCTCTCACACCTCTTCTCTCTCGCCTCTTCTCTCTCTCTCTTCTCTTTCTCTCCTCCCTCTTTCTCTCTCTCTCTCTCCTTCTCTGTCTCTCTCTCCTCCCTTTCTCTCTCTCCTCTTCTCTCTTTCTCTCCTCTCTCTTTCTCTCCTCCCTCTTTCTCTCCCTGTCTCTCCTCTTCTCTCTCTCTCCCTCTCTGTCTCTCTCTCTCTCCTCCCTTTTTCTCTCTCCTCCCTTTCTCTCTCTCCCTTTCTCTCCTCCCTTTCTGTCTTTCTCCCTCTCTCTCTCTCCCTCTCTCTCTCTGTGTCTCTCTCTCACACCTCTTCTCTCTCTCTCTTCTCTTTCTCTCCTCCCTTTCTCTCTCTCTCTATCTGTCTCTCTTTCCCTCTCTGTCTCTCTCTCTCCTCCCTCTTTCTCTCTCTCCTCCCTTTCTCTCTCTCCTCTTCTCTCTTTCTCCCTCTTTCTCTCCTCCCTCTTTCTCTCCCTGTCTCTCCTCTTCTCTCTCTCTCTCCCTCTCTGTCTCTCTCTCTCTCCTCCCTCTTTCTCTCTCTCCTCCCTCTTTCTCTCTCCTCCCTTTCTCTCTCTCTCTCCTCTTCTCTCTATCCTCCCTCTTTCTCTCTCTCTCCCTGTCTCTCCTCTTCTCTCTCTCTCTCCTCCCTCCCTCTCTCTCTCTTTTTAGCAGACTCATCCCTTTTGTGGTTCATATTTAGTTTGCAGTAAACTGCAATAACAGAAAACCTTTCTGATATATTCTAATCAAGTCCCATATTCCCTAGCAAGCCAGATTTAGCTGACCCTGGCTGATCTCAACAAAAGCTAAGCAGGATCAGACAGACTCTGGGGAACAGATCACCTGTTCTAAATTAGACCTGGAAGTTGGGGGGGGGAACCCCCCACAATTTTGGCAAACTTTATTCTTGCTAGGAAAGCTATCTGGATGTGTTGCCAAAGTCAGCAGAATCTTCTCAGTGTGCAGTTCCAAATGGAAATAAATTCAGATAGTCCTCGACTTACCGTACTCCCTTTAGTGACCGTTTAAAATTACAACAGCACTGAAAAATGTGACTTGAGACCGTTTGTTCACAGTTACGACTTTTGCGGTGTCTCCTATGGTCACGTGATCAAAAATTCAGACCCTTGGCAACTGACTCTTATTTATGACGGTTGCAGTGTGTCCCGGAGTCATATGTTCCCCTTTTGTGACCTTCCGACAAGCAAAATCCATGGGGAAAGCTGGATTCACTTAACAACCGGGTTGCTAACTGAACTGCCACAATTCACTTAACAACAATGGCAAGGAAAGGCCGTAAAACGGGGCAAAATTCACTTAGCAATTGCCTCATTTAGCCATGCAAAGTTTGGGCTCCAATTTTTGGGGGGTCATAATTCGAGGACTGCCTGTGTCTTTTTCATTCTAATAATAATAATAATAGTAATAATAATATGGTTGAAGAAGAAAAAATGGCTTTGGAAGAATATCTGAAGGACAGTGATGAAGATGCACTGAAATTAGTATATCAGGAAGGCTTACTGACTACTGGAGAGACCAAACTGGCCTACAAGAAAGACCAAATGAAGAACAGAATAGAGGCATGGGAAGACAAAGCACTACATGGCCAATACATGAAAAAAAATAGCTGGGAAAGCAGATAATAACAAGACCTGGCAATGGCTAAGAGCAGGAAAATTGAAGAAAGAGACCGAGGGACTAATTCTGGCTGCACAAGACCAAGCCTTAAGGACAAATGCATATAAAGTCAAAATTGAGAAGACAGCAACAGACAGTAAGTGCTGCCTATGCAAAGAAGCTGAAGAAACAGTGGACCACCTGGTAAGCTGTTGCAAGAAGATCGCACAGACTGACTACAAGCAGTGGCATGACAAAGTAGCAACAATGGTGCATTGGAAGATCTGCAAAAAATATCATTTGCCTGTAAGCAAAAACTGGTGGGATCATAAAATAGAGAAAGTCATAGAAAATGGTAAAATTAAACTGCTCTGGGACTTCAGAATTCAAACAGACAAGCACCTGCAACATAACACCCCAGACTTAACAATTGTCGATAAGAAAGACAAAAAAGTCTGGATAGTTGACGTGGCAGTGCCTGGAGATAGCAGAATAGAAGAGAAAGAACTGGAGAAAATAACAAAATACAAAGACCTACAAATAGAAATAGAAAGACTGTGGCAAAAGCAAGCAAGGGTAGTACCAATAGTCATAGGCTCCTTGGTGCAATCCCAAAACAACTGGAGCACCACTTGAACACCATCATTGGCATTGACAAATTCGCTATTAGTCAATTGCAAAAGGCGGCCTTACTAGGAACAGCTTCCATCCTGTGACGATATCTGTAATACCATCAAACATCCACATCTGCCTATCCCAGGTCCTGGGTAAGGACTCGATAGGTAGACAAAATGCCAAATCCAGTCTGAACATCTGGCTGACTGTGCGATGATCCATAATAACAATAACAATAAAGTTGGAAGGGACCTTGGAGGTCATCTAGTCCAACCCCCTGCTCAGGCAGGAAACCAGTCTGCAGAAGCCACCGGCCCCTTTTGTGTGCAACCTTTAAGAAAGGCTGAGCGTGAGCAAGTGAAGGAACTTACTTCCATAATCTTCGGATTCGTGCATTTGCCTCCGGTTCCCAAAAGTTCCAGCCAGCGGTTCTCCAAAACGGAGCAATGGTGCTTCAGCGTACACTGATTCAAGTCTTCGCACCACCCACACTCGTAGTCGGGATCCGCCTTCAGACACAACCCACAGCTGTCCCTCATGGCCCCGCACTTGTAGAGGTGGACTGCAGGGAGAACAGAAAGCCACTCAGGAGACGAGGCGCAGATGTGGGCGAGGATGATGGGGAAGAGGGTGGGAAAGGAAGGTGCTCCCTCTGTTTCTTCTCTCCGTTCTCAGCTGGATGAAAGATAGCCCAGTGAAGGAACCAGCGACTCAAGCCATCCAACAGTATACAGCCAAGGAACCAGCAAAACTCCCAACGAAACATTGAGACAGGGCGAATCACTTGGGTGTAAATAGAGAGGAAACCCCACTCCTTTCTAGCACTGATGGTGTTACCTTGTTGGGTCATGAAATGTCTGCAGGAAAACAACCAAGCTCAGAGAGCATCAAGGACTCCACAGTTCTCCTCCTCCTCCTCCTCCTCCTCCTCCTCTCCACAAACCTCCCACTCTTCTAGCACTGATGAAGTTACCAGTTGGGTCATGAAATGTCTGCAGGAAAACAACTAACCTCAGAGAGCACTGAGGACTTCTAATGTTGAATTGTTTCATATCATCCTGATGATAGATAGATCGACAGATAGATAATTAGGTATGTAGGTAGGTAGGTAGATAAATGGTAAAGACAGAGATAGATGGATAGACAGATAGACAGATAGATAGACAGACAGACAGAGACAATTAGGTACGTAGGTAGGTATGTACATAAATAGAGATAGAGATGGATGGATGGATGGATGGATGGATGGATGGATGGATGGATGGATGGATAGATGGATGGATGGATGGATGGATGGATGGATGGATGGATGGATGGATAGATAGATAGATAGATAGATAGATAGATAGATAGATAGATAGATAGATAATTAGGTATGTAGGTAGGTAGGTAGATAAATGGTAAAGACAGAGATAAATGGATAGACAGATAGACAGACAGACAGACAGAGACAGATAATTAGGTATGTAGGTAGGTAGGTAGATAAATGGTAAAGACAGAGATAGATGGATAGACAGATAGACAGATAGATAGACAGACAGACAGAGACAATTAGGTACGTAGGTAGGTATGTACATATATAGAGATAGAGATGGATGGATGGATGGATGGATAGACATACAGACAGACAGACAGACAGATAATTAGGTACATAGGTAGGTATATAGATAAATGATAGAGAGAGATGGATGGATAGATGGATGGATGGATGGATGGATGGATAGATAGATAGATAGATAGATAGATAGATAGATAGATAGATAGATAGATAGATAGATAGATAGATAGATACATACATACATACATACATACATACACAGACATGGATGAATGGATGAATGGATGCATGGATAGGCAGACAGAAAGACAGACCGATACAGATAGAGAGAAGGAGAGGTTGAGAGATAGAGAGATGATAAACAGACAGACAGATAGATAGACACACACAGAGAGAAAGACAGACAGACGTTTATGCCACCCTTTTCGACAGGCAGAGTAAAATCACAATGCGTCACAGAACACAGTCCCCACTTCTCTCTGGTTCTCTCTGACAACCCCGACACAATAAAATCCAGCTCCCTCACCAAATCAAAAGAGGCAGAAAAACGCCAGCCTGTTCCCTCTGAGCAGGGAAGGGAAGAGATCAGAAACTGGCGGATTTCTGAATAGATGAAACAAGAAGAGAGGCGTTCAGCAACACACAGAGACACACAGACACAGACACACACAGACACACAAACACACAAACACACACACGATGCAGCCCCAGTGAGGATTAAAGGCCTAAAGATACCCTCGGCCTCAGTGTACGTTCCCCTTGTACATGTGAATGAGGAGTAAAGTCAAAGGGATGGAAAGAACTGCATTCTGTTGACTCCCTGCCTAAATCCTAGGATTAATCGGGAGGACTCAAAAAGCCGCTGGAAAGTTCAAAGCTGCGGGGCGGGCTCCTTGTGACATTTCACGCCACATATGGAAATCACAAATCCTGAGAGGCCGTTCGGGGATGCAGGAGGCTTCCAGGGGTGCAAGGGAAGGTTGCGGACACAATTGGGCCTCGTTCCCCTATAAGCAAATCCTTAATGCCCGGCCTTTGATCTTCTGAGGTGCTCAGAAGCAATTGGGGATGCTAAGGCCATCTCCATCCAATTCTGCGCTCTCTCTCTCTCTCTCTCTCTCTCTCTCTCTCTCTCTTTTATCTTTTTTTCTTTCTCTCGCTTTCTGTTCCTCTCTTTCTCACTTTTTCTTTCCCTTTTTCTCTTTCTCTTTCACTTTCTTTCTGTCTGTCTCTCATTTTCTCTCACTCTTTTTTCTCTTGCTCTTTCTCCTTCTTTCCCTCTTTCTCTCTCTTCTTTCTCTCACTCTGTTCCTCTTTCTCACTCTTTTTTTCTCTCTCTCTCTCTCACTTTCTGTTTTCTTTCTCTCTCTCTCCCTTTTTCTCTCCCCCTTTCTCTCTCCCTTTTTTCTTTCTTTCTTTCTTTCCCTTTTTTTCTCTGTCTCTCATTTTCTCATGCTTTTTTCTCTTGCTCTCTTTATCCCTCTTTCTCTCTCTTTTTCTCTCTTTTTCTTTCTCACTTTCTGTTCCTCTCTTTCTTTTTTTCTTTCTTTCTTTCTCTTTCTCATTTTGTTTTTCTCTCTCTTTCTCCCTTTCTCTCTCTCTCTTTCTTCGTCTTCTTTCTTTCTGTCTCTCATTTTCTCTTGCTCTTTCTCTTTCCCTTTCTCTTTCCCTTTTTCTTTCTCTCTTTCTCTGTTTTTCTCTCTCTCATTGTTACACATACATACATCTCTTTCTCTCTTTCTCTTGCTCTTTCTCTCTCTCCCTTTCTTTCTTTTCTTTCTTTCTGTCTTTTCTTTATTCTCTCTGTCTCTCATTTTCTTTCGCTCTTTTTTCTCTTTTTCTCTTGCTCTCTTTCTGTCTCTTTCTCTCTCTTTCTCTTCTTTCTCTCCCTTTCTGTTCCTCTCTTTCTCACTCCCTTCTAGCACTGATGATGTTACCTACTTGGGCTACGAAATGTCTGCAAGAAAACAAGCAAGCTCGGAGTGCACCCAGGACCTCCACAGGGAATCTCTTCTCTTGAAATTAAGCTTAGAAAGTGGGAAAGGTGTTTTGGGATTGACGGTGAGAATGGAGTTTGTTTTATAGGCAGAGTGGTCTCCGCACTCCATTAAATACATTGAATTAAAAAGCAGAGCAAAAATTAGCCAGGAAAACATCCTGTGATCGATGACAAAAGGAAGCAAGCACAGTTTGGCTAGGCTTGGGGAACAAAGCGGCTTGTTGCTAAGGTTACCACTTCCAAGGACAAGTTGAAATGACAAGTTACCTTTATTCTGCGCTGGGTTGTCAATGTTGAAATTCCCATTCCACACGACCGTCAGATCCACCGGCAGGCTGTTAATCTCCATCCCGTCGTAGGAATACTAAACAGGGAAGGGAACAAAAAACAAAAACATCAGACACCTGTTGATCCAATTCTCAGATGTCGCTGGATGCAAACTGAGTTAAAAGAAGAAGAAAAAAACCCAGCAACCATGGAGGCACCCATTTGGATTTTAAAAATTTTTTTTTTTTTTAAAAAAAAGCAAAACGAAAACTCCAAAAACCGTTGGAAAAATAGCATTTTTTTACATGGGTATCTCTGAAATCCAGAATTGGGTTCTGCAACAAAGTAGGAATTCTTTAGGCTTTCCGAGGTTGTTTTGCCACCAGGTTCTGCACTCCGTCTATCGAACTGAAACAAGGCAGCTTTTAAAGCAGAGGTGGGGAACGAGGGTCTCCTTATGATTTGTGGACTTCAGCTCCCAGAATTCCTGAGCCAGTATGGCTGATTGGCCCCTTCATGATGTGTGGACTTCAACCCCCAGAATTCCTCACCTAGCCTCCATTTTGTTTGTTAGATTTAAGACGGGTCTTCAAACTTGGCCCTTTTATGATTTGTGAACGTCAACTCCCAGAATTCCTCAGCCAGCATGGGGGAACTATGGCCCCTTCATAACTTGCGGACTTCAACTCCTAGAATTCCTGAGTCAGCATGGCTAAATGGCCCCTTCATGACTTCTGGACTTCAACTCCCAGAATTCCTGAGTCAGCATGGCTGGATGGCCCCTTCATGACTTGTGGAAGCCATGCTGGCTCAGGAATTCTGGGAGTTGAAGTCCCCAGGTTATAAAATGGCCACCATTCCCCACCCATTTTAAAGAAACTCTCCATGGAGACAGATAATCCTCAACTTCAGCAGTTCGTTTAGTGACCATTCGAAGTTACAAGCTGTGAATATTGTATTGCATTGAATTGTATTGTATTGTACCGGTAGTCCTTGACTTACAGTCTTTCGTTTGGTGTCCATTTGAAGTTACAACGGCACTCAAACAAGTGACTTATGACCGTTTTTCACACTTACGACCATTGCAGCATCCCCACATGATCAAAACTGAGACACTTGGCAACTGACTCATATTGATCATGGTTGCAGTGTCCTGGGATCACGTGATCCCCTTTTGTGACCTTCTGACCAGCAAAGTCAAGGGTTCACTTAACAACCGTGTCACTAACTTAACAACTGCAGTGATTCACTTAACAACCGTGGCAAGAAAGGTCGTAAAATGGGGGCAAAACTCACTTAAGAAATGTTTCACTTAGCAAGAGAAATTTGAGAAACCCATTGTGGTCGTACGTTGAGGACTTCCTGAATAAACACTTAAAATTAACAAGCCGAAGGGGGTAAACGCTCTTTTAGACAATTGATTTACATGCAAACTTATTTGAAATTATTTGCCAGGGTTTCCACTGACTACTGTTCGGCTCAACATGCATCTGTATTTCTTGCAAATCAAATCTCTCTGGGAAAAGGCATGAAATATTCTTTTCTGAAAAGCACTTTAGACATGGACCGTCAAGGTGGCAACCCTGCATTCTCCATGATTCGGGAATCGGAAATGAAGGAAAGGAGAAGGCAGAGAAAATCTGGGGTTTTACCATTCAGAGGGCGGTTTTCTGAGTTCCCCACTCTCCTTTCCTTTCCTCCCCCAGTGCAAACAGATACGAGGGAGGGAGAGAGGAAGTTGAGAAGGAAGGGAAGGAAGGCAGGCAGGCAGGCAGGCAGGCAGGCAGGCAGGCAGGCAGGAAGGAAGGAAGGAAGGAAGGAAGGAAGGAAGGAAGGAAGGAAGGAAGGAAGGAAGGAAGGCAGGCAGGCAGGCAGGCAGGCAGGCAGGCAGGCAGGAAGGAAGGAAGGAAGGAAGGAAGGCAGGCAGGCAGGCAGGCAGGAAGGAAGACAGGAAGGAAGGAAGGAAGGAAGGAAGGAAGGAAGGAAGGAAGGAAAGAAGGAAGGAAGGAAGGAAGGAAGGAAGGAAGCTAATTGGAATGCTGTATTGCAGGCCAACTCTGCCCAATGCCAGCAGTTGGATCCTGACCGGCTCAAGGTTGACTCAGCCTTCTGTCCTTTGGAGATTGGTAGAAGGAGGACCCAGACCCAGATTGTTGGGGGCAAATGTGCTGACTCTATAAATTGCTTAGAAAGGGCTGTAAAGCACTGTGAAGCAGTATATAAGTCTAGGTGCTACTGGTAAGTGTAAGGAAGGAAAGGGAAAGGAAAGGAAGGGAAGGGAAGGGAAGGGAAGGGAAGGAGGGAGGGAGGGAGGGAGGGAGGAAGGAAGGAAGGAAGGAAGGAAGGAAGGAAGGAAGGAAGGAAGGAAGGACCATGGTGGCGTAGTGGTTATAATACAGCATTGCAAGTTAATTCTGCCCACTGCCAGCAATTCGATCCTGACCGGCTCAAGATTGACTCAGCCTTCCATCCTTCTGAGGTCGGTAAAATGAGGACCCAGATAGTTGGGGGCAATAGGCTGACTCTGTAAACTGCTTAGAGAGGGTTGTAGAACACTGTGAAGCAGTCTGTAAGTCTAGGTGCTCTTGCTGGTGCAAAAAGCCACATTATAAATGCTCTTCTGTGAGCAAATAAGAGTTTTTAAGGAGAAGCTTCCTTTCCTAGGGGGGCCTCTACTTAAAACCCCAATGTTTTGAAGAAGCCGTGAGAGATAGGATCTGGCCAAAGGATAATAATAATAATAAAAAAATCAAAATAAGAATAATGATAATAATAATAATCAAAACCATTTCCTGCCAGCCAGAGCCACCCAATCTATTTTTCTTGTCTCTATAATCCTGAGCTTAGAAGACACGGCATGAAAAAAAAAAAAAACAGCAACACCAGAGTGGCGAGGACATAAAATCTGGCGAGCTGGAGTGATGAGTAATTAACCCTAGGCGGAAACACAGACGTGAGAGGGAGAGCAAGGGGTTGGCTTACTCCTCCGAACTCATCCATCTCCTGACTTCATTTGACATTAGTTCCTCTTGACTGCATCGCTACCCCGAGCCCAGCCGAAGGCTATGAATCTTTCGTGGCCCCGCCGGGGTTTTTTATAGCCACCGAGGCTCTTAATTAAAAGGACGACGTTGGTCTGGAAGGCAACAGGCAGAGGCCATGAAGCCTGATGCTCGGCCAGCTGCAGGGATTGAGGAACACCGTCAGGGAAGAAGAGAAGCTGGAGATCTCTAGAGGTTCCTCAAAGATCTCATTCTTCTGTTAGATTGGGAAAGAATGTCTCCGAAATGGCCAGGCTCCTTCTTAGTGCAAGCTGTGGATATTGTATTGCACCACGCTGCACTGCATTGTATTGTATCGTACAGGTAGTCCTCAACTTACAATCTTTCAATTACTGACTATTCAAAGGTACCAAGTTAAAAACCAGGAGACAGCAAGTTCTAGTCCCGCCCTAGGCACGAACGCTGGCTGGTTGACTTTGGGCCAATCACCAGGAGACGGTGAGTTCTAGTCCCGCCTTAGGCATGAAAGCCAGCTGGGTGACTTTGGACCAATCACCAGGAGATGGTGAATTCTAGGCCCACCTTAGGCACGAATGCTGGCTGGTTGACTTTGGGCCAATCACCAGGAGTCTGTGAGTTCTAGTCCCGCCTTAGGCATGAAAGCCAGCTGGTTGACTTTGGACCAATCACCAGGAGATGGTGAATTCTAGGCCCACCTTAGGCACGAAAGCCGGCTGGTTGACTTTGGACCAATCACCAGGAGACGGTGAATTCTAGTCCCACCTTAGGCATGAAAGCCAGCTGGGTGACTTTAGGCCAGTCACCAGGAGACGGTGAGTTCTAGTCCCGCCTTAGGCACAAAAGCCAGCTGGATGACTTTGGGCCAATCACCAGGAGCCAGTGAGTTCTAGTCCCGCCTTAGGCATGAAAGCCGGCTGGGTGACTTTGGGCCAATCACCAGGAGACGGTGAGTTCTAGTCCCGCCTTGAGCATGAAATTTTGGGCTCAGTTGTGGTTGTAAGCCGAGGACTCTCTGTCTACGAAGATGGCATTTGCAGAAAACAACGGGAGCGGGGTGTTTGTTACAGAGCTGCAAGGGAGACGGAAAGGAGCAGATTGGGCTCACCCCTCCAGGAATTGATTTACAACCATCCATTTGTCTTCAACAACACACCTCGCAAAATAGATCACAGCGGCCTGGCGCCCCCCCACCCGTAACTGGCCTCATAATTCTTGGACTCAATTTTAGCGGGGGAAGCACAGAGTGGCATGTACAATATGGGGGGGATAATCTTTTAAGAAGAAGATGGACGACTCCTACCATCCTCAATTTTCTGACACACAAAAAAGACCATGTCTGGAAAGGCCACCGCAACCGCAAATACAAGTAGCCCTCGGCGTACAACCATGGCAGAGCCCCAGCCAGTTGCGCAAGAGGGCTTAATTTAGGGAGATTTGCCTATAGGAAAGGACAATAAAACCGCAAGGAACATAAAAGGAAAATAGTCTGAAATTCCAAGAGGACCCAATTTGAACCATGAGGTCTGAAGCTAGAGCTGGTTGAACTGACCAGTTCAATATGGGTTGGGCTTTGGAGGATCAGGACAACAGTTCCGGTTCTTGGGACCGTTTGCTCCCTTCCCAAATCGATTTTCAGTATTGGGTCACCAGGGGATGACTACAGGGGAGGGAGTCAAAAGAGTCAAGATGGCAGCCGCTCGACCGTTGGATCGAAACCCGGGCTCTTTTACATGTATCGTGTGTTGATGGACTTCTTGAAAAGGAGAAATAAATAGATCTGTCTCTTTTGCCTGTCCTAGGTATGTATCCATCTATCTGTCTATTCATCTCTCCATCCATCATCTCTCCATCCATCATCCATCCTCCACCTGTTCATCATCTATCCAAACTTACTTTATTTACCCATCTATCCATCCACTGTCTGTCAGTCTATCTACCCATCCATTATACATCTATCTATCTATCTATCTATCTATCTATCTATCTATCTATCTATCTATCTACATCCATTATCTATCATTCCATCTATCCATTATCCATTTATCCATCCATCATGTCTATATCTATCTATCTATCTATCTATCTATCTATCTATCCATCCATCCATCCATCCATTCATTATCCATCCATCTATCCATATATCCATTCATCAACTATGTATCCATCCATTATCTATCTATCTATCTATTTATCTATCTCTTTATCTACCAGTAGCTATCCAGCTAGCTAGCTAGCCATCCATTCATCCATCCATCATCTCTACCTGTATCTGTCTATCCGTTTGTCTAACTCTCCACCCATCCATTATCCATCCATCAACCTATCCATCCATCAATTATCTATCTATCTATCTATCTATCTATCTATCTATCTATCTATCTATCTATCTATCTATCTATCTATCTATCTATCTTATCCATCCATCCATCCATCCATCCATCCATCCACCCACCCATTGATGTCTTTCTGTGTATCTATGTATCCATCCATCTCTCCATCCATCCCTCCATCCATCCCTCCATCCACCCACCTACCCACCTACCTACCTACTTATCCACCCATCTATCTACCATCTATCTCTATCTACCTACTACCTACCTACTTATGATCTATTTTCTTATTTCTGTATACCTGTATACCTTGTATTATTCCTAAATAAAAGATTTTAATTGGAAAAAAGGGGGTGGGGCTTTGAGCCCACCATCCCAGCTGCCCTCTTGACCGATCCCACAGGCCCACTCCTCCCTCCTCCCTTGTGGAGGGCGCTTACTCACGGAAGTGTTCTGGCATTGGACGCTGGAACTGTTGAACCTCAAGGCGGGCACCCGCTTCTCAGTCCCCTGGATGGTGATGATGCATTCATAGCCCCGCTGGCCGGACTGCGGTTGGGGCAAATTTTTGGCCTTCAAGGTGATCGGCTTGATAACATCCACGGGGACCAAGATCTTGTTGGCCTTCAGCAGCTGGGGACAGTCCTGTGCACAAAACAGATGGAGCACAAGTCTGGGAGTTAGCCTTACACATTCACATTGTCACCTGCATCTTCTTAGACAGATAGATCACCTTTATTGTCATTTTTTTCCTGCGGGCACAAGGGCACACATTAAAAATGAAATTTTGCTCTCAAAGTGCACACGTACATAACACACATTTAAACATTCTTTATACAACATCTGCAATGCCTTGGTGAGGCCACATGTGGAATCCTGCATCCAGTTTGGGTCACCACGATGTAAAAAAGATGTTGAGACTCTAGAAAGAGTCCAGAGAAGAGCAACAAAGATGATCAGGGGACCGGAGGCAAAAACATATGAAGAACGGTTGCTGGAATTGGGTATGTCTAGTTTAATGAAGAGAAGGACCAGGGGTGAAAGGATAGCAGTCTTCCAATATGTATATCTATCAATCTATCTATCTATTTAGAACTCACCATCTCCTGGTGATTGGTCAAAGTCACCCAGACGGCTTTCATGGCTAAGACAGGGCTAGAACTCACTGTCTCCTGGTGATTGGCCCAAAGTCACCCAGACGGCTTTCATGCCTAAGGCAGGACTAGAACTCACCATCTCCTGGTGATTGGCCCAAAGTCACCCAGCTGGCTTTCATGGCTAAGACAGGGCTAGAACTCACTGTCTCCTGATTTTCAGCTTGGAGCCTTCACCTTTAGATCCAAATGCCTCTCTAGGAGAATCATCTATGTCAGTGGTTCTCAACCTTTTTAAGGCCGCGACCCCCAACCGGTCGAAAGTCGAGGACTACTCAACCGGTTGTAAGTCGAGGACTACTCAACTGGTGCAGCACCGTTTGCAGAATGGGACTTTTGGCGGGCTCAGCAGGGCAGAGACAGCCTGGACAATTCCTATTGGCTTTTGAAAGCCAATAGAATTAGACTCTATTCAAGAGAGTCTATTCTATTGGCTTTCAAAAGCCAATAGAATAAAAGGGAGTAGCACAGCTAAGGAAAAGGGGGAAAAAAATGGCGGACTGCGTTGTTTGGTGACCCCCGTGAAATGGTCGTTCAACCCCAAATGGGGTCCCGACCCACAGGTTGAGAACCACTGTTCTATGTTTTTTATATACAGATTTGATGCATCTGGCATCAGAAAGCAGACAGAGCGATACTATCCCAAGATTACACATTTTTAAGTTCAGGAGGGAACAATTTTTATACCCATGGCCCCAGCACGGCTTTCGATCCCAAATCATCTCTCGTCATATTATATCACCCTGTTCCAAATAGCCCGGTATTGTCTTATCTTCATTATAACCTCGCTAAATGTCTGAAGGGATTACAGGCAAATGTGTATATTTTACCCCCCTCCTTTTTTTTTTTAATCGGCCATGCTCAATTAACCCTCCTTTGGTCTGAAAGTTTTTGAACAAATTGGGGAATTTGTCCAATAATCTTCATAATGAATCCCATTGTTGGCTTTATATATTTCCTAAAGCGTATCGAATGCAAAGGCAGCGAATTGTTTCGGTTCCTGATGTTTCTTTCCGGATGGCTATTAAAGTTAATTTAATACATAAATAAATGTTAGCTCGCTGGATCTGTGTGCGGTGTGTAAAAGGGTGGGAAATAAGTTTTTGTAGGAAATAGCAATGCAACAGAGAATTCTGGAGGGAAAAAAAAAGTCATCTGGATACCTCTTCATTCAAATCTGCCCGGCATTTATTAGCTATCTTAACAAGTCTTATCAAAAATAACGGAGTCATCCCACAGTGTCAATTCTGCTGAGCCTTGTTGACATTATTGAACAAGCTATGGTTTCAGAAAGCCCCCCCCCAAATAGGCAGTAAGTAGTGCTTGAACAATATAGTCTATTAATGAATATTTAAAACTACACAATAATCAAATAACCACTATGAATTCTGGGAGTTGAAGTCCACCCGTCTTAAAGCAGGTTGGCTGGGGAATTCTGGGAATTGAAGTCCGGCCATCTTAAAGTCTGCTGGCTGAGGAATTCTGGGAATTGAAGTCCACCCATCTTAAAGCATGCTGGCTGGAGAATTCTGGGAGTTGAAGCCCATCATCTTAAAGCATGCTTGCTGGGGAATTCTGGGAATTGAAGACCACCCATCTTAAAGTCTGCTGGCTGAGGAATTCTGGGAATTGAAGTCCACCCATCTTAAAGTCTGCTGGCTGGGGAATTCTGGGAGTTGAAGTCCACCCATCTTAAAGTCTGCTGGCTGGAGAATTCTGGGAATTGAAGTCCACCCATCTTAAAGTCTACTGGCTGGGGAATTCTGGGAATTGAAGTCCACCCATCTTAAAATCTGCTGGCTGAGGAATTCTGGGAATTGAAGTCCACCCATCTTAAAGGCTGCTGGTTGAGGAATTCTGGGAATTGAAGTCCACCCATCTTAAAGTCTGCTGGCTGGGGAATTCTGGGAATTGAAGTCCACCCATCTTAAAGTCTGCTGGCTGAGGACTTCTGGGAATTGAAGTCCGCCCATCTTAAAGTCTGCTGGCTGGGGAATTCTGGGAGTTGAAGTCCACCCATCTTAAAGTCTGCTGACTGGGGAATTCTGGGAATTGAAGTCCACCCATCTTAAAGTCTGCTGGCTGGGGAATTCTGGGAATTGAAGTCCACCCATCTTAAAGCACGCTGGCTGAGGACATTACACGCCAGATGCCCAATTTTGATTACATGACAGTGTCCCAATCTTGATCATGTGACTGTGGGGATGCTGCAATGGCCGTACGTTTGAAAAATGGTCATAAGTCCTTTTTTTCAAGGCCGTTATAACTCTGAACAGTCACTAAACGAACGGCTGTAAGTCAGGAACCACCTGTACAGCCTTCTGCTTCGTGCAATGGACATTTCGGGCTTCTAGAGTTAAGAGTTGCGGAAGGCCGGGCTCCAAAACCACAGATTCATCTCTTCTGCTTCCCCAGCCCCCACATCCCCCCCCCAAATAAATTGCCTTTTAAAGTTTCAATTAGGAAATACATGGGAGTCAATCAAAGGCAGACACAGATTGTGAAGTTCCTGTTGCCTTTCCCAGCTCTGGCCTCTTCAATTATCTATAATGAACTTCTTAACACAGCCTCAAACCTTTTTATATGCTAACGAAGGCTGGATTGAAGCCGTGGCAACTGCCTCTCCGTTAATGACTGAAAAGCAGGGTGGCATTGCTAGAGAGCAGGAGACAAAAATTTGATCTGCAAAGCTTCTGGTTCCCTCCCTTGGTCTCCACACCATCTGGTACATCCTGGATGTCAATCAATCGGAACAGAGCTGGAAGGGACCTTGGAGGTCATTTAGTCCAACCCCCTGCTCAGGCAGGAAACCCTATACCATTTCAGACAAATAGCTGCCCAGTCTCTTCTTAAAAACCTCCAGTGTTGGAATATTCACAACTTCTGGAGACAGGTTGTTCCATTGGTTAATTGTCCTCACTGTTAGGAAGTTTCTCCTTAATTCCTGGTTGCTTCTCTCCTTGATTAGTTTCCATCAGTTGCTTCTTCTGGCCTTCAGGTGCTTTGGAGAATAATTTGAACCCCTCTCTTTTGGGGCAACCTCTCAAATACTGGAGCACTGCTATCATGTCACTCCTAGTCCTTCTTTTCTCTAGACCAGCCAAGTCCAATTCCTGCAGCCAGTCTTCGTATATGTTTTAGTCTCCAGGCCGTTGATCATCTTAGTTGCTCTTCTCTGCAATTTTCCCAAAATCTCAACATCTTTTTTGTAATGTGGTAACCAAAACTGGATGCAGTATTCCAGGTGTGGCCTTACTAAGGCTTTATAAAGCAGTACTACGGTATAATACTTCAGTGATCTTGATTCTATGCCTCTGTTTATACAACCAAGGATTGTATTAGCTTTTTTTTTTGCCTGCTGCCCCACAGCACTGGCTCTTATTTAAGTGATCGTCCGTTAGGACTCCAAGGTCCCACTCACAGTTACAGGAAAATGAGGACTGGAAAGCTGCACAATCCAACAGTTTGGCTTGAGAAATACTCTGCAGAAAACTTCAGAGAGATGGGAGACAATTTGTGCGATTTCCTATCTCTGACTCTGTTCTTAAATAGGAGCAGCCCATCCGAATGGCCTCCCCCTAAGGATGTCTTAGGGTTGGAAGTGTTTTCAACCTCAGCTACTTTAAAACACATGGACCTCAACTCCCAGAATTCCCCAGTCAGCATGATGACTCAGGATTTCTGGGAGTTGAAGTCCTTAAAGTTTGCTCTGTCTCCATTCACTTATCCATCCATCAATTATGTCTGTCTATGTCCTTCTCTCTATCCATCTATCTATCCATGTCTGTCTGTCCGTCCGTCTATCTATATCCATCTATCTATCTATCCATCCATCCACACATGTCTGTCTATGTATCTATGTATCTTTCTATCCATCTCCTTATCCATCCATCCATCCATCCATCCATCCATCCATCCATCCATGTCTGTCTATCTATCTATCCATCTCATCCATCCATTCATCTGTCTATGTATCTATATATCTTTCTATCCATCCATCTATCTCCTTATCCATCCATCCATACATACATACATACATACATACATATCTGTCTGTCTATCTATCCATCTCATCCATCCATCCATCCATCTGTCTATGTATCTATATATCTTTCTATCCATCCATCTATCTCCTTATCCATCCATCCATCCATCCATCCATCCATACATACATACATACATACATATCTGTTTGTCTATCTATCCATCTCATCCATCCATCCATCTGTCTATGTATCTATATATCTTTCTATCCATCCATCTCCTTATCCTCCATCTCTCTCTCTCTCTCTCTCTCTCTCTCTCTCTATCTCTGTCTGTTTATCATCTATCCATCCCTCTATCTCCTCCATCCCTCCCTCCATCCGTCCATCCATCCATCCATCTCTGTCTGTCTCTCTCTCTCTCTCTCTCTCTCATCAGGATTAATCTGGAGGCCTCTGGATAACCCACCCATCCCATCCTCTTAATCTTGTCCCATTTGCAAGGGGT